AAATGAATGTCTGTTTCCTCCTGTGCTTTCACAGTGTGAGAGTTGAATTGATGGTGACTCCTCGCCTGGCAGGGGAGGGGACGAGGGGACCTGGTCCATCACCCAGACAGAGTTATCCTGGAGCAGCTCCCAAGGCAAAGACAGAGGGTGCCTGCTCAGGCCTGGGAGGCTCAATAAATAACACCTCTCTTTTCTCTACCCAAGTAAAAACAAACGAACAAATGATAGACCAGTAATTGCAAAGTGGAGAGAGCAAAAAAACTATTTTAACGAAATGTTCAGATGTGCTTGCTAACGTGCTTGCCCGGGTACTGAATTTATTCCTTAAGAATTACCCAGAATTAACAAAAACTTGGAAATACCGCAAAAAGATGACCCCTTGTTCTCTCAGTGTTCTATTGAATGATGATCTAACAGACCCACCATGATTGATTTAATTCTCTAGGAGAAATTAGACTTCACTTGACTTTAATTGACTATGTATTAGGGCCTAGATTCATTAACATTACATGTTAATTTGTGTATTTGATATCTGTTTGATAGAGACGATAACTACAAAGACTATAGTGTAATTGCGGTGTAGGATATTAACCAGTGTTGCACCTAATTTAATAAACTTATTTCAGCATTCCTCCCCAGACTAACTCTAAATCTCTTCACCAAATGCACTTAAAAACCAGCTTTGGCCTCTCCTGGTTAATGAGTCAAACAGATCTTTGACACATATTCATTCCATATTTGTATGAAAGTAATGTTTTTAACTTTTTTGAAAATTGTACTTTGACTCACTTCCACTCCTGTAGCAGGCCTGCTCTGAGAGCCAGATGGTGTTTGGGAGCTCACCACACAGTAGACAGACACAGTTCATAGTGCAGATCACAGGATGGAATCCAAGAGGGGCTCCCCACTTAAAAGCAGCTCCTCCTTTAAAATCACTAATCCAGTCAGTCACTCCCTTTTTCCTCAGGTGGAGTGAGAGAGGGCTGAAGCAAGAGACCAGGAGTGTTACCCTAGAGAAGTCATTTCTCATGGTACAGGAAGACTAGAAAATAAGTCCCCCACCTAACTGGGCCCACATGAGGAATAGCCACAAGACCAATGGGAAACTGTTGGGGGCAGAGATGTTGATCGTGCTCTGTTGACTATGATTGTTATAGTTATAAGGAATATTAATCATGTTCTGTTAACTATGATTGCTCTGTTTTAATTAGAAAAGGCACTTTCTAACCTTCCTGGGAGTTGTATGCCCCTGGACATGGGAGTTGACCTTGGAGTGCTGTTCATTCTCCTTTTATCATGGAAAGATAACAACCTTGCTCCTGAAACAAAGGGGAACCAGAGGCAACCCCGCCTTTTTGCAACCCCCCCAGCTCACATTTCATGTAACCTGTAAACTTTTATAGCCATTCTTATTCCTTTTACCCACTTCCCCATGTAATCTTTGTCCTTCTATCCAATATAAGGAACTGGCTTATGGGGGCCTGGTAGAGCAGATTTTATGTGGACAAATCCTGCTGCTCTCCCATGTTGCCGGCATTATTGGAATAAATGCTCATATATGATTCAACCTTGTCTCTGCTTAACTGGCTGAAGTAGAAACAGGCAGCCCGGACCCATTGTGTGTGGTTTCAAGACCAGGCACTTGGCTGGTAGCCAGTGGAGGATAGGCAATGGACTTTTCCCATCAGAGTCACTAGCACCACAACTCCAAGGTCTTGGCCAATGGCTATTAAGACTTCATTACCTGGCCAGTGTGGCTCTATGGTTAGAGCATCAGCCTACACACCGAAAGGTCTCAAGTTCAATCCCGGTCAAAAGCAGGTACCTGAGTTGCAGGTTCCATCCCCAGACCCAGTTGGGGTGCATGTAGGAGGGAACCAACCGATGTGCCTCTCTCATATTGATGTTTCTCTCTCTCCCCCTTCCTCTCACTCTTTCTAAAAATCAATGGAAAAAATATCCTTCTGTGAGGATTAACCAAATAAATAAATAATAAAATTAAATTTAAGTTAAAATAAAAGACTTCATTGCTTAGAAGGTGAGCATTCTGTGACCCAGGGCTGGGTGGGCCCAGGACACCAGAAGTAGCTGGAGGTTTCAGAAGGAAAACAGATTATTTAAACATTGTAGCTGTCTGCCCAACCTTAACTATAATCTTCCCCATGGTGTTACTGTGTTAGGCAGTTAGACAGACATGAGCAGAACAAGGATGATGGGCTAGGTATAGAAGGTCACCAGAGGGAAAGCTCCATGTGCTTAGCAAAGAACAATTGTAGGGTGGGACTTCGCTCCCAGGGTGACCTTTCCTCCCCTAGCATATTGCTGGTCATGCTGTTTGGACCTCTTGACATTTCCTCCCTAGAGATAACATCTAGACTTCAGTTGTATTTCAGCTCCAGGCACAGATAAGCAACAAAACCAGCCACAGCTGACCTCGGACCAGCTGCATTGAATAATAGACCCCCTGCCCTGGTGCTGACCAATCAATCAGTGGAGACCCCAATCCAGAAAGGACATACCTGGAAAACTGCTGAATATTCTATTAAGATCTTCCCATGGGATCTCTCCTAAGATCTCCACCCTTAAAACCCTTGGGATGGAGGACGCAGCATGCTCTCCCTCCAGTGAACATGCCCTCGCCTTTCCTTTTCCCCCTCCCCCTAGGTGAGTTACCATTACCTTCCTCACTCCCAAACTCCTAGGCTCCTTCCTCTACCTCTATAACTTGTTTCCTAAGCCCATTTATTCTACAAATTACTTCTTCTACATCTGTGATTTTATAAATAAATGTTCTCTTATAGTTTGAGTCTTGGCTCTGAATTCTTTCCTAGCCAGAACTCAAGTACCAAGATTGCTGAACACAGGTCTGGTCTGACCCCACCAGACTAACACCCAGTGCCAATCCCACTGCCTACAACATTCCCTAAGGTCCTAGAAACTCTCAACATGGTCTCATATCCTGGGGAGTCGGCCAAGGCACATCTCAGATGTTGACGTAGGAAACATCCAAACCTGTAAGAATTTTTATGAGTTTATTTGAGCCAAACTGATGACAATTGCCGGGAAGCAAAACCTCAATGAATTGAGAAAATCCTCTGGAAAATGGCAGTTTTACCACTTACATCAGAATCAAGGGGAAGATGTAACGGGGTTACGTGAAATCCACGGGTGATAGATTAGGGAGGCGGGAGAAAGCAAAGCAGAGGGAAAATCTGGGATTGGATAAAAAGTAAAAGGAATAGACACTTCTTTTACCTTGGTGGGTGTAGGATAGATAACAGTTAACAACACTATGAAAATAATAACAATGAGGGGCTCTGTGGTCTCATGCTCTGGTGGGAGATTGTGCCCTGAGGGGTATGGAAAAAGGAAATTACCCTGACATTCCAAAGGTATGTTATCATAGATGTAAAAAGTCAATAGACTGGCTCAGTTAAGGTAAGGATGGACCCTTGTCAAGAGAGATACCAGCCCAGGACATGACTACCCACCCATGACTCGCTTTTAGTTAAGAAGTTTTGATTTCAGACCATCCTATTGGTTACTTTAGGTCTCTGAGTTTGTAAGGCCCCCTTTTTGCCCCTTTTTGTCCACATAGGTGACTGTGGTCTTTCATTCAGACCTGAGAGAAGGCTGTGAGGCAGAACAGTGAGAAGCTAGGAAAATTCCTTGACAAGTGGGAAACTGAGACAGTTAAACAGCAGTTTGCAGCCACCTAGTAAATCCTGTCTTCCCTAACCCAAGGCACTTAAGAGTAAATGGTTTGCACTTCTCCTCCCCCAGCAGAGGGTAAATAGCTTAAACCAAACTACCTCGGGAAACAGCCGAAATCCAATTAGTGCCATTTGCCAACCACACCCAAGGACAGTTGAAATTAAAGGAATAAATCTCATTTTGGCTCATCAGCATAAAGCTGTTGAGTATTCGATTGAAATCCTCCCCTAAACTCCCAGCCTTTAAAACCCCTCAAAAGGAAGGTCCCAGCAAGCACTCTCCCTCCTAGGAGCACTCCTGGTCTGTTTCCCCTGCCCCCACTTTCTCCCACACAGGCATGCATCTCCTAAACTCTAAGAAACCCCAGGAGGTTTGCAACCAGATAGCCCAAATGTAGCAGGACCAGCCAGATGGGTTGTAACTTAAGTTGGAAGTTTTGATTATTACATTAATTTCTAAATTGGGACAGAGTTTGTCAATTTAACGTGACCCAAAAGACATGCCTAAGAGTGATCAGAGAAAGTTATAAAACTGCATGAGTTTTTGTGCAGAGACTGAGGAGGAAATTTTCCAGCTGAGTAAATTTTAAAGGGGAATGGAAGACATAATAGACACTTTATGATTATAGCCCTTGAGTCCTGTGTGTATGATGTCCAGGAACCTCTTCAGAGAGGCCAAATGTAATCTGCATTCTGCTTCTGGCCTTTGCCCTATGATTTCCTGCAAGGATTGCCCACCCCAGCCTCTTGCCCTGTCAGAGTTCTATCCTTCCATCAGAGCCAGACTTTTCCTTGTCCGTAGATGTCTGGCAAACAGTGGCTGACTGGGTCTTTGTCATATCAGTTCCCCAAGTCCACAGCATAGTTCCAAATACCGAATAAGCCTGTTATGGGCTGAATCATGTCCACCCAACCCCAATTCATATATTGGAGTTATTATAATCCACTGCACCTCAGAATGTGACTGCATTTGGAGATAGGAACTTTAAAGAGAGAAATTAAGTTAAAATGAAGTCATTAGGGTGGGCCTTAACCCAACAGGACTGGTGTGGAGAAAATTAGGACACAGACACAGAAGAAAGGCCATGTGTATGTAACTACAGAACCAGCTCAACATGGTCTTATTCTGTTTAACCTGAAACTGAGTTGCTTTTCAGGGACAACAGACAAAAACCCAAGTCATACAGCCAAAACATGCACAGAGGAAGGAACTTTGACCTCTAGCTGCACTGGGAACCAAAGTCTCCACCTTCCCTCCCCAGAAGAAACCAAAGGACCTGGACATACCTGAACTTGAACACAGGAACAATTTCAGAAGCAGAGAGTCCGTTGTCCAGGAAGATCCTGTGTTGATGCCCTTAGTATAAATGGCCAAGGTCCCCCCCAGTTAAAACTTGCCCCACCAGTGCTTCCACATACCTGTTTCCCCTATTTGCTTAAAAACCTGCCTGATAGGAGAGTTAGGGCTTTTGAGCATTAGTTTCCCATTCTCTGGGGTAGCACCATTCATAATGAAATGGCTGACCTCTCTCCACTGCAGTTCTTGATGTTTAGCATTCAGCTCTCTTAGTGCCGGGCAGGTGAGCTCTTTCTGTTCTGTAACATGAGGACACAGGGAGAAGATCGCCATCTACAAGCCAAAGAAGGAGGTCTCAGAGGAAACCAACCCTGACAACACCTTGATCTCAGACTTCTAGCTTCCAGAACTGTGGAAAAATACATTTCTGTTGTTTAAGCCCCTCAGTCTATGGTACTTTGTTATGGCAACCCTAAAGGACAAATACAGCACCTTTCATCAATATTTGCTGAATTGTTTTTGATTAATACAAATTTAAGTATCATTTTTAATATCTTCCTGACACTTCATTATATGGGTGTTTCATATTTTATTTAACTAGCTCCTATTGTTGAACTCTTGATTGTTTCCAAATGTTCTCTACTATAAAGAATGCTTCTATGAACTATTGTTCAAAGAGCTTTTGGTGTTCTGTTAAATTATTTCCTTAAGCATAAATTTTCATGGGCAGGATTACTTATAAAAGACATGAACATGTTTATGGCTCTGAAGGACTATACCAATTTGAAACAATATCAGCATTGAATGAGTACACTCATTTCCTAAAAAACTTACCAGACTAGAATTGATCAACTTTAAGTTACTGCACTCTGAGCCAGGGATGCTGCTTTTTTCTACTTCTTAGTTATGGGTGCTATACTTCCAGTCCATTGCCAACACAACTACCTGCCAAAGTTCTCATATATTTCCAAATCTTGTTGAAAATTCTTTCTACAGGGTGCAAGAGGCTATGCAGCAAACTTGAGGCCAGCAGAGGGGTCTGACCAGTTCACTCAGCAGTGAATCTGAGGGACCATTTATCCTCTGAAAGAGCTTTTGATGGAGAGAACAGGGGCCAGACAGAGTGCCCTGAGAAAGAGGGTCTATCCTCCCCACCCTGAGTGCAGGAGATGCACCCCTTCCCCAACCTGTGGAATGGCTCTGCGCTGGAAATATGCACCTGTGTGGCTGGGCCTGACAGCATGAGGGACTCCAACATCTGGCTTGGTAGGAACCTGGGTGGAGGCTCCACCCAGCCAAGGCTGGCCGAGCTTAAAGGTTAGCGTGCCAATTGGGGCTGGGGTTTTTTGTGTGTTTTCTTTTTCTTTTATTTTTTATATCCCCTCCTGCTTGAGGTGGTGACTAGGGGGTCCCAGTGACTCAGGCAGAGCTGAGGTATTGGAAGGAGAGGAAGTACCCATTCCCACTCCTACAAGCTACAGGCACCACCCCTTACACAAGCCTGTTTAAGCCATCCTGGACAGGACCCAGGTACCCCCACAGAGCCCTGTTCCATAAGGGAATGGAGAGAAGCTCAGAACAGGGACATTCAGCTTGTGAGACCCAAAGCAGACCCAGCCTCTGGGATATGGAGGACTGGCCCACTGGACTACTTGGGGCTCCACCTTAACATGCTTCAGTCAGGTTTCCCAGGGCCAGGCAGGAACAGTGACACACATTGGCTTGCACCAGAGAACCTCCCAGGAAGCCCAGGACTGTCACACCAAGGGGCCAGATCAACAACATCAAAGCAAAATCCAGTGAGCTCAACAAATAGCAGACGCAAAACACCTGTATAATAGTTGGCTTGATGTGGTCAGGCTTGAGACTCACAGTCAGCAATCCTGAAGGCTGAGCCCACCCACAAATGGGACAACAGCAATCAAGACCCAAATTCAACAGGAGAGTCCATATAACCCACACAAGGGACATTCCTAGAGTACTCAGCTTAGAAGATCAAGGAGACTACACCACTGGGTCCCACAAGAAGGCCACCCCTCCAAGACTTGGAGGAATAGTAGTCTTATCCAATTCACAGAAACAAACACAAAGAAACAGAAAAAATGGGGAAACAAAGAAAGAGGCCCCAAATGAAAAAACAGGAGGAATCTCCAGAAAAATCTGAATGAAATGGAGGCAAGAAACTTATCAGAAACAGAATATAAAGTAATTGTTTTTAGAATGTTCAACAGCTTGGGAAAAGACATAGTAACCATGAAAAACAACCAGTCAGAAATGAAGAATGACATAGATGAAATAATACCCTGGAAGGAATTAACAGTAGGTTGGAAGAAGAAGAGAACCAAATCAGTGAATTAGAAGACAAAGTAGAAAAAAATCACTCAATTAGAGCAGCAAAAAGAAAACACACTTTAAAAGCATCAGGATAGGTTCAGGGAAACGTTGGGACAAGATGAACCAGAACAACATCCACATCATAGGGGTTAAAGAGGGAGAAGAAAGTGTGCAAGGGATAGAGAACCTACTTGAAGAAATAATATTTCCCTAACCTGGTGAAGGAAAAAGTCACACAAACACAGGAAGCACAGAGTCCCAATCAACATGAACCCAAAGAGACCCACACCCAGTCACATCATAATTAAAATGGTAAACGTTAGAGACAGAGACACTCTTAAGAGCAGCAGGAAAGAGACAGTCATTTACCTACACATGAGCTCCCATTAGACTGTCAGCTGATTTCTCAACAGGAACACTACAGGCCAGAAGGAAATGGCATGAAGTATTCAAAGTAACGAAAAGCAAGGATCTGAAACCAAGACTACTCTATCCAGAAAGGCTATCATTCAAAATTGAAAGTGAAATAAAGAGCTTTTCAGGCCAAAAAAAAAGGCTAAAAGAGTTTATTACCGCTAAACCAGCATTGCAAGAAATGTAAAAGGGACTGTTATAAGAAGAAGAAATAGAGAGAGAGAGGAACATAGGCATAAAGAATAAAAATGGCAATTAATAAGTGCCTATCAATAATAACTTTAAATGTAAATGGTTTGAATGCTCCAATCAAAAGACATAGGGTAGCCCGGACAGTGTGGCTCAGCGACTGAGCATCAACCTATGATCCAGGCGATCACAGTTCAGTTCCCAGTCAGGGCACATACCCAGGTTGCAGGTTTGATTCTCAGCTGGGGGAGTGCAGGAGGAAGCCGATCAATGACTCTCTCTCATCACTGATGTTTCTATGTCACTCTCCCTCTCCCTTCCTCTCTCTGAAATCAATAAAAGTATATTTTAAAAAAAAAGACATAAGGTAGCTGAATGGATAAGAAAACATGACATGTATATATGCTGTCTACCAGAGACCCACCTCAGAACAAAAGACTCACATGTACATGATGAAAGTGAAGGGATGGGGGGGAAAATTCCCATGCAAATCAAATGAAAAAAGCTGGGATAGCAAGGCCTATATCTGACAAAAGAGACTTCAAAACAAAGGCCATAAAAGAGACAAAGAAGGTCATTACATAATACTAAAGGGATCGATCTAACAAGAGGATATAACCCTGGTAAACGTATATACACCCAATATAGGAGCACCTACATTTATTAAAAACCCATGGAAGACTTTAAGGGAGACATCAACAGAAATACAGTCAGAGTAGGGGACTTTAACACCCCACCGACATCACTAGATAGATCTTCCAGACAGAAAATTAACAAGGAAACAGCAACCTTAAATGACACACCTGTTCAGATGGATTTAATTGATATTTACAGAACAATTCATCCCAAATTTGCAGAATATGCGTCCTTCACAAGTTCACATGGAACATTCTCAGAGATAGACCACATGTTAGGATAGGAAATAAGTCCTTACAAGTTCAAGAAGATTGAAATCATATCAGATCATGATGGCATGAAACTAGAAATCGACTACAATTTTTAAAAAAACACTCTAAAACGTTCAAACACATAAAAGCCAAATAGCATGTTATTAAACAAGGTCAAGGAAGAAATAAAAAGCTACCTGGAAACAATTGAAAATGAACACACAACAATGCAAAATCTATGGGACACAGAGAAAGCAGTCCTGAAAGGGAAATTCATAGCACTACAGGCCTACCTCAAAAAACAAGATAAACTTCTAATAAACTATCTAACCCTACAACTAAAAAAATTAGAAAAAGAACAAGAAAAGCCCAGGGTAAGAAGAAGGGAGGAAATAAAGATCAGAATGGAAATAAATGACATGGGACTAAAAAAATAAACAACTAACTAACAAAACAATACAAAAGATCAATGAAACCAAAAGATCAATGAAACCAAGAGCTGGTTCTTTGAAAAGATAAACAAGATTGATGAACCTTTTGCCAGACACATCAAAAACCAAAGACAGATAACCCAAATAAATAAAATTAGAAATGAAAGAGGTGAAATAAAAACTGACACCACANACATCAAAAAACAAAGACAGATAACCCAAATAAATAAAATTAGAAATGAAAGAGGTGAAATAAAAACTGACACCACAGAAACAGAAAGATTGTAAGAAAATACTGTGAACAATCATATGCCAACAAAATGGACAACCTGGGTGAAACAGGCAAATTTCTAGAAACATATAATCTTCCAAAGCTCATCAGGAAGAAACAGAGAACCTGAATAGACTGATAACAACTAATGAAAATTGAAGCAGTGATCAAAAAAACTCCCAGCAAACAAAAATACTGGACCAGATGGCTTCCCAGGGAGTTTTACCAAACATTCAAAGAAGGACTAACACCTATCCTCCTCAAACTATTCCAAAAAATTCAAGAGGAGGGAAGACTTCCAAGCTCTTTTTACGAGGCCAGCATTATCCTAATTCCAACACCAGATAAAGACACTAACTACAAAGAAAGAAAATTATAGGCCAATATCCCTGATGACCATAGATGCTAAAATCCTCAACAAAATATTAGCAAATTGGATCCAGCAGTACATTAAAAAGATCATTCATCACGACCAAATGGGATTTATTCCGAAGATGCAAAACTGGTATGATATTCGAAAATCAATA